AGAGCCGAAGAGCTGTCGGCCAACAAACAGATCGCTTTGATTTCGTTTTCGGCCACCAATTTAGATAAGAAGGACTTTTTGGGCAAATCTGATCCCTATTTGACGATCTCTCGCGTCAATCCGGACACCACTTACACTGTGGTCCACAAGACGGAAGTGATCCGAAACACATTGAGTCCGCAGTGGAGACCATTCAACGTGAAAGTGCAGCAGTTGTGCGGAGGGGACTACGACCGCAACCTTAAGATTGATTGCTATGATTGGGATGAAAACAGTGCCCACGACCTCATCGGCTCATTCGTCACTAATCTGAGACGACTGTCCGCCGGTCCCACTCAACAGAACTCATATGACGTAAGAATCATTAACTTTCCGATTATTTCCCCTATCCCTATCCCTATCCCTATCCCTATCCCTATCCCTATCCCTCCCAATCCCTTACATTCCACACAAATTGATCCCTTTTTTCCTTTCCTTTAAATATCTTCAAATGTTTGCTTAATGTTACGGTATTTCCGAAATAAACATTAATTTATAAATTATATCATATACTGTAAGAGAAATGTTAATGGGTTTTATGAATGAGATTCCTGAATACCAAATAGTGTTTCCCTTATTTAAAATTGGGATTCCTGTCCATTTTTCTTAAGGGAAATTATTTAACAAAAATCCCAAATTTAGATTACTACTGTATATACAGTAATACTACTTTACATTATTTTTATCCCAAAGCTACCGGTATTTAATTTACTATTGAATTATTTTTATGATTAGTGTATAAACGAAGAGAAAAGGAAACGGAAGGGAAAGTCGTACACAAATTCAGGTGTTGTTAGACTCAACACTATATCGATCTCACAAGAAGTCACTTTTCTGGACTATATTCGCGGCGGAACTCAAATGCATTTCGCGGTCGCCGTTGACTTCACCGCATCCAACGGTAACCCGAGTGACCCCCGGTCTCTGCATTTCATGGACTATAGCGGTCGTCCCAATCAGTATGAAATCGCATTGAGAT